CCGCATCAAGTCTGGTATAGCCTGCCAGACGTCCACTCTCAAAGACTTCATGAATCTTCAGAAATTCCTGAAAGATAAGAAAGTGCCATTCAATCTTCTCAAGAACTCAAACTCCAAACCTTTCAAAGCCGTCATCAAAGGGATCCCCCCTCCACTCCTCCCAAATTCATTCAAGAAGAGCTCCAGGCAATGGGATTTCTTGTGCAGAACGTCATCCCCATGACTGCGTGGCGAGACAAGAGCCTATTGTCCATGCATATATAAAGCCTTGTATCGACTGCGCGCGGCTGCCTCGCGAGGCAATGTTCGTTGCTTTGCCTCGCAAAGTCGATACCATGTTGCCACGCGTGGCAGAACCGAACAATGCCGCGCTCGAACTTGGCTCGCGTCGAGCCAAATCTGAGCGGTTCTTTGTCCCGCGGCAAAGGGATTTCACGGTGCTGTATTCATGGTGATCTTGCGAGAACTGACGAACAGCGTCGATCACAGCCGAACACGGTTGCCGCGCTCGATGCTGGTAACCACGAGCACAATGAGCGAACGAACGAGTTTGCCGCGCACGAACAGGTGCGCGAGGCAGCCGCGCGCAGTCGATACAAGGCTTTACATTGTTCACTGTTTGCGATACATTTGATGTGCATTACGTTTTCGGAGTTTGGCTACAATATTAATATGTTTCCACAGACATTTGGAGAATCAAGTTTTCTTTGTGTTTTACAGATGGCGCCAATGCAATTCACGTCGATGTTTCTCCAAGAAATCCAACAGTGAAGGTGGGACAGAACTTCACGTTTATGTGTCTGGTAGCGAAACCACTCATGTACTGCCGTATTCAGATGCCAGGAGTAAGTGGTGGTCTCAACTTGAACGAGAATTCTGAAAGGAACACTGAATACTGGTATGCAGGTGACAGCATTACGAGAGGCCAGTGTGGAATCACCATTAACCGGATGACAGACAAATACAATGGCCAGTTCAAGTGCTCGTTGGGTTTCTCTGGCGAGTCAAATGAGTCTGAGGGAACCACCAATGTCACAGTTGCAAGTAAGAACAGAACCACTTGTAAATAAAATGTTTTTCAATGGGAACTGAGGACATTCTCTTAACCTATCTGTACACTTAGAGAAACTTCTGAAAATCCAACTCTGTATAGTCTGAGCTATTGACAGCGTTATAAAATAAACCACAAATAAACTATTTTCAATTTCAATTCATTTATTAAAGTACTTGACAACATCCGAAAAGGCCAATAACAGCCAAGCACTAACAACAATACAAATCTTAACAATTCTAAAGCAAACAAACAATGAACTGAATATATAAAGTACAATATTAATTTATTGCAAAATAATTAATAAGTAAATGAGCTAAATGTTATGGATAAGTAAATTAAAAATTAAATTAAAATCAGTTCAATTTTGGACAAACAACATACAACTAATTTTGCCTTTAAAAACATTAATGAGGAACAGCGCATCCAAAAGCTTCCTCCTTAAATGTAACGACAAGAAGTTTAATCTCACTAATATATCATCGTAATTATAGGCACAAACGCCATTAAAGAATCTAGTGTAACACAAAGCTACAAATTTCCTTTGAATCCTTACTAAACAATTTTCATTTTACCTGAAAGCAGGTGAAAAAATTATACTTGCGCTAAATGAATGTACTCTAAGATTTGGCATAATATCTGTAGTCTGAATAACAAAACTGCAACTGACCTCAAAATCCTTGTTTATTATTACTCGCAATTTTTACAATGTCATTTGTCATTTTTGCCTGTTATAAAATTGGTTTTAAAAAGATGCTTGTATGCTCTATTGATGTTTTTGTTTGACCAACATCGTCTTATTACAGGGCCCCCACAAAATCCGCCTGACCTCATGGTCACTCCAGAGTTTGATCGCCACTTTAATGCGTATAGTGAAGACACATCTATAAACGCAATGTGTACGGTGAGAGACGCACGGCCAGCAGCTGATCTTTCATGGTTTATGGGTGAGTTACTGCTTCAGTCCTTGCTATTTAAGTAACTGACCAACTTTCTGAATTATACTTGTCAAGTTTCTCAAAACAAAACTCTTGTTCTCCACTCTCTGATGTCATCTTACTGTTAGAATATTTAGTTCATGTGGGGAAATTGTTTACTTATCTTTTCTAACTTTCACAAATGGCAGTCGTTTCTTTAGTGCCCATATAAACATTGACCCTTCCCATATAATAATCTGCATTGAACTGAGTCATATCTGAGAAGCTAATAGTTTCTCATTTAGTCAAGAAACTGCATTTTATGAAACCCGAAGTTTCAAAATAACCTGTGACTGGTCGCTATCCTGAGACTGACCATTCCTGTCCACACCCTCCCACCATATTTCTTTAAAATTTTGTATATTATTATCCTCCCATCTATGCATCTGTATGCCTTCGTAGTAGTATCATACCAGTGCCCTCTTCGTATTTTATGCAACATCTTATCACTGACAAACTCTAAACTCTTAACTGCTGATATTACCCCTAATGTGGCTGCCCCTAAATGTTGATTAGCATAATTTATAATGATCTTCTATTATCTGCACTTCTGTTTATCTCTCCACACCAGATAAATGTACCATTTCTGTGATATTATGTTATGGATCAGCCCCACTTGGTGGGAGGAGCATCTAACTTCATATCAGTATGCACTAGCATATAAACATACTGTGCTTTCCAGTTTTCAAATACATGGACAAATGCCTTCTTGCCTCAGATCACAAAGTGTATCCTCACTACCATTCAAAAGCAAGCAATGAATGTCACTTACTTACTTGGATACTTGGACGACCCCTTCTTCAAGTGCCTGAGCACTGCGGGTCCCAAATTTTTCGTTAGTTTGATCTATAGACATTCGGTAGGACTCCTTGGACGAGGGATCGGCCCGTCGCAAGGCCTCTACCTGTACACAGGACAGCACAACACAGAAAAACGCTGACAAACATCCATGGCTTGAGTGGGATTCGAACCCACGGTCCCAGCGACCAAGCAGCACAAGGCCCACGCCACAGACCGCGCGGCCACTGCGGACCCAATGAATGTCACAGCCCTATAATTTTAGAAACTATGGCTTTCTTTATCATGAAGAAAGTTATTTATTTGGCTTTAACTTTCCTGCAGTAGCATGCAGCACAAAAGTACAAATATGCAGAGCTTATACACTAATTCTATTTTAATGACAACAAATGAAAGGAACATCCAACTTCTCCCTGGGAAAATTGGTGTTGCTTTGTTTGCTTTGATGGTATTACACAATCTTCATCTTTATTAAAACTATGCATAGGAAGGTAAATACTACAGGTAATTTATGTAACAAATTAGGTATTTTAAGGGTAAAATTATTAATTAATTAAAATACAGCTAAAGTTTCCACAATTTCCCTGTAGGAACTTTTCCTCATTATTTTCCATACATGTACATGAGCACACTTAATTTGTTGTCTTGTTCAGTGTTTAACAATGGTTTAACAGGTAATATTGCACGGCAGTGCAGGGAGGAGAGTTACGTAAAAGAAGAAAACAAACAAATCAGTTTGTTAAAACAATATAATGACAAATGATCACTCCCAATGCCTTACAAAAAAAAACACGATTAACAGCCGAGAAATCAGATGGGACTGCGCTCGCCCAAGCCAGTTCCGACCAAACTCTCCAATAACAAAAAAATTTTGAAAGAAGGAAAAAAGGTATAAATATAAAAAAAAGATCAGTAACTCCTTTTACCGGAACAACTCCAGGCCAGTACGCAGAGCACCTTGCTCTCTAGCTGGGTCGGAACAGACTGCCCTCTCCAATACTGCCAAGATGACACTGAAAGGAATCGGGTGGGGGGTGGGGGGCAGTACAAACCAGTCTTGAGCCATACACGGCTGAGTATTATCAGTATTGATAATTTACATTGACTTTCTTTTGTAGATTTATTGGTCTATCCTTTGCAGTGAAGTATTCTGTACCCCATTTATACCATAAAATATTCTCATATTCAAATAATTTTTACACATTTAATACTGGATACTTTTCCTAAGAAAAATATGCTGTAATATATCTCCAAAATTGTGCATTCAGTGCCAGTTACACATTAACTGTTCAAAGCCCAGTGGTAACTACATATCCTACTTACTTGTGTACTTTCAGATTTCATATGATTCTCACTGTGAACTGGGATTATCTCCTTAAACAGCATTAATCACTTGTTTTCTTTGTAGTATGGACTGAATTCCTAAATATTATTTAGATGAGCTTTAACTTAAAACATGGAATTTTGTCCACAAATAGATGGAATAAATTTTACAGTGCAGTGACATCTATTAAACTGCTTCCTGCCTGCATGCTCCTTTTCTAACCTTGATAATTATGAAGGTGGAAAAATGGGATTTGAATAGTTTCAGTACATTCAGTTAAGAACTTTTTATCTTTCTGTCCCCAATATAAAATTTTAAGGATTAAAACGTAAAATGTTTCCTGTCCTTTGATATGAGTGTGAAACTTGGTCTCTCATTGTAAAGAAAAACAGATTGAAGAGTTATAACAAATTTGGACTTGAGTGGAAAGAAGGAACAGGAGACTGGAGGAAATTGCATAATAACGCTGAATAATTTGTATCTTGTCAAATGGTATTAGCATGATCAAGTCAAGGATGATTAGATGAACTGGACGTTTTACTCATATGGCAGGATGAGAAATGCATATAAAATTTTAGTCTGAAAGCCAGAACAAAGGGATTGCTATTGAGATCTAGGTATAAATATGAGGATAATATTATATGGATTTATAGAAATTGACTGAGTGTGGGTTTGTATCACTCAGGATAGGGTCCAATTGTGGGGTGTTGTAACCAGCATTTGGAAAATCATGTTTTAATCTAAATAGTTTTGCATTTTTGCATACAGGCGATGACCAGATTACAGATGGATTAAGTCGCCTCGAAATTGTGGAGTCACCAACAAATCTATTCACAGTACACCAGAATCTTACACGCAAGTTGACTTGGAAGGATAATGCTAAGGATCTAAAGTGTGTTGCAACACATATTGCACTAGACAGAGTGTTATCGACCATCAAGCAGATTAATGTGAGATGTGAGTACATGAGTAATGACAATGAATCATACTGTAATTTTAAATATTTATCTGATAATTATGCTTTCCTTTTCATTCAGCTTAAATACTAGCTTCTTTATTTAGCAACTCTAGATTTATGATACATATTTTTTGCATTGCCTGCCCATTAAATTATATCAAATTTCCAACATGTTGATGCTTTACAGCCATTTTCCTATACAGGTCACAGTCTGAGAGTAATAATGGAGGTGTGTTCGTTAATTATAAAATTTGTATGTTCTAGTAATCAGTATATCATTTTACTTTGATTGTGTGAATGGGTTTGTATGAGGGTTGTTCAAATGAAACCTAGGTGGGGAATGATCTGAGCAAAGGAGTAGACACTGATAAAGGTAGTCCATGGGCAAATTCCCATTGATGCACCAACGAGTGGATCCTCTTCAAAACACTCCTCGGATGGCTGCTGGAACCACTGCACCAGTGCAACCTTGGCGTCTTTATCTGACCTGAATCTGTAGCCCTATAAATCCTTCTTGAGGGGGCTGAACAGATGGAAGTAACATGGTGTCATACATTGGGGATGATTCAGGCGGGACCTTCCACCACATGGAGCAGAGCCATTTTAGGATGGGATATGTCCTGCAACATGATAGCACTCCTTGTGACCATGATGGCAGTATCAAAGCCTCAGTGGGTTCTATAGTAGCGCTGTGCATTCTCCCATGAATTTAGGCTGGTTGACAACCTTCAGCGCCATGGAGCTGAATGACAGCCCATTGATTGTATTTGAGCGGTTTCTGCACCCAGAATGCTGGTATTTAACTGTGTCACACTGTTAATGTTTGCTATAATGTGCCTCTTCTACTGAACAGCCCATAGTTGAGTGGTGTTATTCACACAGCCATGTGATCACCTGTGACTGGCAGCATTCACTAGCAGCACCAGATCCCCACTGGGTTTGTTACAGCCAACTTTATGCTGTTTTCACTTTTGGACAATTAAATAACAGTGAATATATCAACTGTGGTCTTCTTGGTTGTAACACCATGTATTCTTATAGGTGGTTACCTGAGTTTAATAGAAACGTATCACCTCTATATTCAGGGTTCAAATGAGTCAAGATGGAGGTGATATGTTCCTCCAAAGCATTGGTAACCATCCACAAGACTACATGGAGTCACATCCCAGAAGAACAATGAACAAAGTATCTTACTGGGCGACATGATATGCAGATTGTCCGTTAGTTACTCTTACTCTGAACAACAAAATTCTGATAATTTTTAACTTTCCAGACGCCCAGTATTTGTTAATTTAAATCATTTGCACAATCATAGTAATGATTTTATTGTACAATAGTGACCAGATTTGAAGATACTTATGGTATGTTGGTGTGTATGAAATGTGATTTCTTACATTTATTTAGTTGCACCTCGCCCAATACCTGGAACAATTGAACAGTTTGGGTTTAAAGTGGGAGACGAAGGCATTATTTCTGTCCAAATTCAAGCCTATCCTAAGCCTCGCCTCACATGGTACGTTGATCAAGAGAGCTTTCCTGAGGGACGTATGGACTCTTCACAACGATTTGAGGCTATCTCAGCGAGAGCCATGGTATGTATCCCTCAGTCTTCCTACTGTTTAGGTTTCTCACTTGTTTTATTGGTCATTATTTAACATACTTAGTACAGTCATAACTTGCATCTAGTCCCTTGTATAGCATTTTTAATATCCTAAATCTCTTGTTAAACATTTAGGAAAAGACTAAGGTTTTTTTATTTATGTGGTTTGCAATGTAACTACAGAAATGCAAGATGCAATTATAAAAGCTCTGAATGATTCTTCAAGTGTACTTAATCAAGGGGTCCGCATTGGCAGCGCAGTCTGAGGCGTGGGCCTTGTGCCGCTTGGTCGCTGGGACCGTGGGTTCGAATCCCACTCAAGCCATGGATGTTTGTCTACGTTTTTCTGTGTCGTGCTGTCCTGTGTACAGGTAGAGGCCTTGCGACGGGCCGATCCGTCATCCAAGGAGCCCTACTGAATGTCTTTAGATCAAGCCAACGAAAAAATTGGGACCCACAGTGCTCAGGCACTTGAAGAACTGGTTGTTCCCAGTATCCCAGTGTACTTAATCATGTAAATATTTCTATTTGTCACTGACTTACTGAAATCATTGTTGTTGAACAGGGCAATGGCACATGGGAGGGACAGCTCCTCATAATGCGTGTCAGTGCCGATGATGTGACCAGACAATATGTTTTGAAGGCAACAAATGATGTGGGTGAACAGACGTACAGAGTGAGCATCTCCACCAGCACAGAACCAGAAGGTATGAGACATCTCTCCTGATTCCTAATCCCCTTTTAAAGATGTCTGTTATATAAGAGTATAAGAAATCCTTAGTTTTAATAAATAAACTGTAGGAAATGTATTGGCTTGCAGGTTTACAAATTACCTTATCGAGCTAATGAAAGCATCTCATTATAACATGACCTTATCTCTAACTATTCTCACACAGGAGATTCAACATACCAAACATCATGGTTGAGTGGTTAACACTCCTGTATCATATTTGGGAGGTCTCAGGTTCAAATCTCAGCTTGGAGACCGACTATTTTGCTAGAGGTTTTTCATGGTTTCTCCCAGTTTCTCCAGGCAAATGCCAGGACAGTACCTTAAATTAGGCTTTGACTGATTCATTCCACATCCTGTCCAATTCATTGTCCACTATCGTTCTCTCATTTTACACTGTGTATTCTGAGCTACTGAAAAAGCATTGTTAAATAAGCTTGTGATGGATGGAGAAGTTATTTGTGGTGTTCATAGGACAATGTGACATTATCTTTTGCAGCAGGTGGTAGAGCAAATGCAAGTACTGTTGTTGCACATTGATAGTCTCTCAATCTGCCTTAATAGTGAAAAAGTAATAGCCATCAGGCAGCAGTGTATATGCTGTTCCAAATGTTGGCAGTGGTAATGGGAATTAAGTGTCTATTGGAGAAAAGAAGCGTAGACGGAGGCAACAAGAAATACATTCAGAATTTCGGCAGGAGGGACCTTTTACAATATGAATTGGTGGAGCGAACTCGATGCAGCCAGCTCAGGATAGAGTCAGGTGGTGGGCTTTTTTGAACACGATGATGAACCTTCTGGTTCCGTAAAGAAAGTGGGCTATTCTTTGACAAGCCGAATATACAGTCCACTTTTCAAAGAATTCCCTGCACCTTAGAGTGAGTGAGTGGGGCCTCTTAGAAGGTGGCCACTTGGAAGAGAAAGAATGATGTGGGATAATAGTACTAATAATAAAATGAGAAGTGCTTTGTAAGAATGTGAACTGAAATGAACTGAAAAAGTATCTTGTTCACTGGCTGACTACGTTTAGTTTTGTCAACCTTTTGATCCAGTTGTCAGAGAAATGGTCATCTAGTCAGTCAGTTTGTTTGTCTGTTGGTTAATTCATACTGTCAAAGGGAAAGGAGAATGCTGCATTTAGTTCTTTCTGTGTTAACATAAAGAGACTACTTAAAATATTTACTTTCTAAACAGGATCACTGGAACTTGGAACTGGCCCCATCATTGGAATTGTTGTGGCTGTCCTGGTGCTTCTCATTGCTTTGTTCATGCTTGGATTTGCCCGAACAACAGGTCGCTGGTGTTTTGCAGGTAGGCATTCTGCCATACTCACACATTTATTATTCAGAGACTTTTCAATTTTCCCAAGTTATTTGTGGAATTGTTGCCAACTTTGCATTTCAACAGTCTGGAGTTAAACAGCATAAACTTTATGGTTAGCTTGCTAAAAGGCCGTAACAGTTTGTAAAATAATGGCCTCGAAAGCTTTGAAGATATGTTTATTTCTCCCACTTCTTTAGTTCCCAGAACATGGTAAAAGATACTGAGTACTAATCAGTGGCATAAATTGTAAATTTGAACCCTTTACAGATAAAACTCATATATGTATTCATACATGCATGCATCTTTATTTCATTCCATGGATCTGTTAGCCAGATGACAGTAGGTTGTGGAATAAGTTATAATTATACAATACAAATGTATAAGTATATTTTAGACCAGTGGTATTCAACCTGGGGTACATGAAATTTAAAAAAAAAATATATATATATATTATTTTATGATAAACACTAAATAATCAGTAATGTAATTTATTTTAGATGTATAACTTGAATTATACGCCAACAACTTTGGGGGTACAAAGTTGAAGAGAAATTATATCTGGGGGTATATGAACAAAAAAGGTTGAAACCCCACTGTTTTAGACTATTATAAAGATTTCACATTATATAAGGAAAGGTTTTATGCAAAGTTATGATGTGTTACAAATAAATTCACCCGGTACATACATTAGGTAAATTAGAGTGCCCTAAAGACAAGAAAACCATAATGAACATTAGAAATTAGACGACAGAGCAAAAGGAGTATGTGATAAAGTATCGTCTTGATGCTGCTTTAAACTTTGCCTCATTATTTAAGACTTGTGAGACTAGATGGTAGACTTGAAAATGTCTATGTCTGAAAACGATGAGATGTTGGCATTGTTGCATTATTTGGATATTAGCAGTAGAATCTTTTGCCTACACTCTGTGTTTGTATGTTGTAACCCCTTTTTGATTCGATTTAAGCTCACACACACACACACACAAACTATTGTGATTATGGTTTTCTGCCAGAGCAGTGGTTCCTAAACCATGGTTCTTGAAATAACTGTCTTCTATTGCACCTTGTAGTCTGGTAGAAGTTTACTGACTTTTAAAAGTGCTTACTGCATCCATCCTGAGGGAAATGAGTAAGGCACACGAGGAATTGGTTTGAGATATGGAAACTGGTCAGCTGGGCCAGTGGGGAAATAAGAGTAAGGATTGGGTGAGAGCAAGGGAGTCAGTGGGAGAAAGGCAGAAAACACAGCCTGGCCAGAAGGGTGGACAGACATTGTAGCTCACACATGCAAGGGAATGTGAAATATTTTCATGGGCTTAACAAAAAGGATATGTATGAGGGTCACTCCAAATGTAATGCCCCACACTTTTTAAGAAATCAATATTTATTGTATAGAATTGCTATTGATACATTTTATAGGTACATCATTTAGGAGGAAAAAACTATTTTTCCACATGGTCACCTGCACTCAGCTGCTTTTTTCCACCTCTTAAAAAGTGCTTGAATACCCACCTTCTAAAAAAGACCTGCACGAGCTGCCACTGCGCGGAAAGACATGCATATCAGCATGCCCACTTTTCCCAGATAATCACTTTGCCCAACGTAACCTGTGCTGCGGCCGACAGCATCGTCCCCTTACACCTGCAATCAGTTGTGGATGTTTCGTACTGTCTCGTTCTCACACACCAAGAATTCAATTACAGCACGTTGCTTCTGAAGGATATCAAGTGCATCCGCCATTTTGAACGTATGGTATAACAACGCCAGTAGCGGGAAGTGAATGAATTAAGCACGAATACAAAGCGGAATACGAACTATGAAAAAAGCAAGGCTGTGGAATAAAAACGTTTTATTTAATGTCGGGCATTACTTTTGGAGTGAACCTTGTATAAAAATATTATTTACATCCTGAATTACTTTAAGGTGGTTCTATCAAGCAACATATCAGTGTTACTGCCGTAGTGTATGGATATCTTAATTTTTGTAGTTGTTTGGATTGCTTAGTTTCACATTATGTCAGCTGTCTGGTGATGGGCCCTTGTGAAGTATATGTCTGGAAGGAAGGAAAGAATAGGATATATAAGGATGAATGTGTAACGTTCTATTTTGGTATGAGCCACATCAAATGTTGAGTATTAACGAACATTTCGACAAACATTGCAGTTACCATTTTCATTGATGAATCTGTAAGTGAGGAAAGTTCTGGAAGCCTTATATAGGGCACGCTGTAGGTGGCAAGTTAAATTTGATGGTGCTGATTGGTGGAACAGCAGTTGCATTGTTTTCTGAAGTGTTGGTTAATATTCAATATTTGACACTGAAATTCATTGTAGCTTTTTAGAAATGTTACCGACTTACTTTTTCAAACATGTTTTATGTATTACTTGGTAATTTTCTTAATCAAAATCAGTCACTAGTAGGATTTTTGACACTGATTCGGTTAATATTTCAGTCTCAGTTTTAATTTCTGATGTTGAAATTCTCATGTATCTTGTGAGTGAGACGTGTTCTAGTTCTTGGCTTGATGTCTTTCGTTTAGCTGAAAGTCGCCAAACACTGACAGCATTAATTTTTATCTTTTTGTGTCACATTATTAAGCACATTCCACCTAGACAGTAACATATCTTTAAAATAACGCTTTATTTTGAGTCATCTTATAACATTTATGAAAGTGTAATTTTGTTCAATGCTCATAGAATATTTAATTATGCTTTCCAGCTCTGATTTATTTATAATTATTGAACTTTAGAATGTAATTCTTACAAAAAAATTGTTAAGTTCCAGTGTCGTAGTCATGCATATAACATCTTGTCAGTAGCATCTGTACATTAAGCCAGAAAGAATACTAAAGATTTACTGAAATAAATAATGTTTCACTCATGTGTTTGTAGTAGGCCACTGGTGAGGGGATGAGGCAGTATGTTTGTTCAGAGGGTAACAAGCCAGGGCACTATTATAAGTTTAAAACACAGAAACTAACATGTCTCATAGTTATTCTAGTGGGAAACTATATATCTCTCAACAGAATATATTGGGTTCAGTGGAAAGTTTTTGCATTTTCTAACCCAACAAAACCATAAATTCAGAAGTTTACTGTAAACAGTTGGACTGAGTAAATGAATGCCTGAAAGTAAAATGTCCACATCTCATCAACAGAAGAGGAGTTGTCTTTCACCAGGACAACACCCATCCCTTTGTCAGTTCAATGTCACAGCACAAAATAAAGAAATTTTGAACCACCTCCCATATTCACTGGACTTGGCACCATCCGATTATCATTTATTCATGTCATTGCAAATCCATTTAAATAACAAGATATTTTAAAGATTCAAAGAGTTGAATGATGGTATCCTGTAACATATTTTGAATCAAAACCAAGAAGTTTTTACAAAACCAGAATGGAAAAGCTTGTGACACATTGGGAGACGGTAATGGCAAGCAATGAGAATTATGTAATTTATTAAATATTGTAAACATATTAAAAAGAAAGTTATTTTTGACTTGAAAAATACAAAAACTTTCCATTAAACCCATTAATTTTCTTCTTTCATAATGGCATGAGTTTTGAGAAATAGAATAGAAATTAAACAACAGCTAATTTTGGAGACAGATTCTAATGAAGCAGTCTGACCTAGCAGTGGAAGTGGTTTTGATAAAGTGTGGCAGCAGGTGATAATAATGTGAGCAGAACCTGAGATAAAATTTGGAATTCTGATGGTACTCATCCTCCATTGTAGCTCCCATTGTACTGAATGTATTTCAGCTGTTAGTGACGTGGACTAATGAATTATATAACCAATATTTTGACTCTTTTGACAACAAGGTTAGATGGTTATGATTTATTGATGTGCGTGTGTACATGTGTACAACCATGGCTCTTATCATACAAATGTGATATAATGAGTGGGTGACATTGAAAATTACTGGCCCACTTGGACAATTCTATGTGATATTTTACAGTAGCATGATGAAATGCAATAATTTTTTCCATATTTTGAAATTTCTTCATATTTATGACAGTATGAATTAACCAGACAAGATAGACAAAAACTAACACAGACTTTGTAAACTAATATCTATATTTAAAATTTGTCAGAGCATTTAACTATAGACATATTGTGCTGTTCAAATGGAAACTTAATTTTCAGGAAATACATTCCTAAGAAGTATAAATGCTTTAGTATAAAGATTAACAATATTTGTGATATGACTTCCTACATTTATAATATCTTGTGTATAAGAAAGAATGAGCAAAATACAACACAGACATTGACAGTTACACATGCAACAGTGGAAAGTCTCACAGGAGAATAAAAAGGGGTTGGCCATAAACTTTGCATAGACAATGTTTTCTCCTCTTGATATGTATTTGATGACCTGCACAGCTATCAGTTATTATGAAATTGACAGAATTTCAAAGGTGTTGATAATAAGACACTAAAAATTGGATTAGGGTAACATATATGCAAGGGTGATAAATGTCTTGACAATATGGGTTATGTCAACAAAGGGAACAGATTGGCTAATAGCAGTTCAGTTTTTTGGACAAAATGTAACTGGACAAAGAAATTATTTTTTAACCTGCTGGATCCAACAGTATTGAATAGTTTTATCAATCTGTCTTCCTGTGGTAGCAAAATAGGCCACAAAATGTCATCTCAATTTAGTTTCAAATTTGTTAGAAATGGCTTAAGTTAGACCCAGTCTCAGTCCAGCCCAAGAGGAAGACCAAACTTACAAATAAATCAAATGACTAATCTTGAACCTCGACATAATGAACATCAGTTAGCTGCAAGTTCACATTTGTAGTACTCTTGTGTGTTCAGTGGAGCAGAGAAAAAACATGCAAGAAATTTCATTGCTCAAATTGCAAGGTCACCCTTGGGTACAGAACTTTATTTAGGTGTTTCCCATGTAAAGATAAACTTCTACTAAAGCATGGGAAGAACATCATTTAATACAACATGCATACTGCACATTTTGATTCATATACTCCATGTTTCATTTCATTTTAGGAATCTGTGCCCAGTTTTGGGAAACAAAATTTTATGCCACTAAAATGTAGCAGTATAGAATTTGGCAACATTCTTTCAAGAACCTTTCATACAATATTTTATCACTAATATTTTAATAGATACAGACATTTTCTCATATTGCCATTTTTATAGTTACAGTTTAGCCACCAGTCCCATAATATGGGCATTTAAATAACTTACTCCCATACAATAAAGGCTAATAAAGCATTTTCTCTGATATCAGGTAACTACTTTTCATCATGCTGATGACACAGTATTATCACATGGGCCAAATGCAACCTGCAGGTTGAGAACCCCTTACCTAATCAGTTTGCTTTGTTTAGAGAAAGGAAAGTCCCATTCGTCTCTAATTTCTGTGTAAGGACCAAGCTTACAACGTGGCTTTCTTAGTCATGCTATAGGCATGTCATTAATTTTATACATTTGGAAGTGTGGTGCTGCAACTGAATTAATTATTCATGTATCCACACACACCCACTTAAAAAAAATTATGGGAATCGTACAAAACAAGCTGCTGCAGACATCAATAATGCATGTTCACATACTTGCTGAAATAGAATATCATTGGGAAGTTTTCTCTTACCTTTCAGTATTTCAATTCCATTTACCAAAGAGACTTGCCCCTTACTGTGGCTGTAGTCATGTATGTAATATTCTGCTCTTGTTGAAGTAACTTTCATCTTGTATGCTGTACATACTCTTATTTTTCACAGTGCGAGTGTAATTTTTAATCAGTTTTCTCTTTAACTCTTTTGGGAATGTGTCCTGAGTACCGTTGAACCTATAAGAATTTAAATTTCCTTGCACAACCTTATAGCCAAATTAAATGGGCATTCAAATTCTTTAAAATGCAAAGAATCTTAAAAAGAAATTCCAGTCTTCATTACAATTTTAACCTACAATCTTTGATTAAAATTAGTACTATAAAGTTTGAATCTATTTTTTTTTTTTTTTTTTTTTTTTTAGATCGTAGTTTCAAAATAATCACACCAGCAGCTTAGTTCACATACGTTTTCCATTTTGGTACCATGTTTCTTTGTTTATTCTTTGAAATACTGGAAATTAAATGAGTTAAAGTTATAGAAATTATTTAGCCCTTTAAACTTTGAAGTATTTTAAATAATATGTAGGATTTAAAATTCTGTTCTCTACTGCAACAGCATTCTGGAAAATTTTGAAAAGTTTCAAGAGAACAGACAAAGAATTGTACAGATAACTCTAATAATCTTCATAATTAAAGTTTATTCCAAGTTGGATTTGAGGTTTTTACGGTGGTGAGTCCAAAGATGGCTGTCTTCTGGGTCGTTGTGCCATGTATTCTGGTAGAAGTTTAAAGGTAAACTTCTACCAGACTACACGGCACTACAACCACTACAGCCATTTTCAGAGTTTATTCTTAATAAACATTTCTCTGTTCCTTGAAGCCATAACCCTTAACCTCATTTGGAAGTTTCCAGCTTCTTTATTCTGCAGTATCTATAATTACCAAGTCTGGATAATAAGTAAATATTGATTGTAGCAACTGTTTTAAAATTAGTTCTTAAGTGACCTGATATAACAATATGCAGACTTGAGGGTACAGTTTTCAATCTTAGAATTTTTCTTAAGAATCACTTGCTAGTAACTTCACAGTAGCCATGTGGATTTAATTATATATGCTGTTTTTCTGCATGTACTTCCCCCCATCATTGGCTTTTATTCCCTATACATATGTACAAATTAACAAATAGTAAGCATGTGATAAGTTCAACATTGTAAAAGTAAGGGCAATCCTGTGGAATGTTTCCAAACTGCTAATGTAATTTAACTTTTATTTATTATAATTTAACAAGAGTTCAGATTAAAAAAATAATTATTTCTTCCAAATTGTCATTCCAAAGGAAAATGGAATACCTACGTAAAATTCTGAAAGTTCTGGACTGTGAAA